GGGCCGCTGTGCGGACGCGAGACGTTTACACTTGTCAGTTGCTTTCCAACGCTCGCGCTCGACTGGTTGCTGGGGCGACCCGGGGAGGAAGTCGCCCACCCTCCGCGCGCCATTTTCAAACGGCTCCTTCGACCCATCCGCTGGCCTTCTGGCGGCGGCGAAGAAGGAGGGAAGAGGAAGCTGGAGTCGAGCCGTCCCTACCTCCAAGGCTTGATGAGGGGCGAGACGTGTGGGACAGCAGCAATGGCTCTCCCGCGTCCGAACGAGGCCGCGATTTGAGGCCGCGGGGCTCCGTTTCCATAGCGACTAGATGACGGTAGAAGAATGACGTCGCCCCGAAGGGAGTAGCATCCGAAAGGGGTCAGGCTTGCTAGGCCTTGAGAGCGGGGCGCCTGGGGAGGCCTCAGCAGGTTCGTGCGATTGTTGCAGGGCGCCCCCAGTCGCAGTTCTCGGGCAGGGTGGCCGCAAGCTCTCCGTTTAAACCCTCGCCTCCAGGCCATCCCTTTGCCTCTGTATCCGGTCCTCGGATACCTTTCACCTTCCTTCTTCCTTTCTGCCCTGACCTGCTCCCTTCGCTTCTGTATTACTCCCTTTATAGCATAATGTGCTTTCCAAGTTTGGGCATGTAATTTCTAGAAGCAGCTTTGGAGCTCAGGGTGGCGTGTCTCATGGAAAGTGTTATATTCACCCTGTCCTTAATCCAAGACAGAACGAGTGGCCCTAGTAAGGACTGAATAGGATTTGAACTTCTGTCTCCCCAAATGATTTTTTTAGTAACTGGCATGAATCTCTTCTCCTGACTGCCTGAATGTATATAGAAGCTTGGTATAGTGGTTAAGTTCCAAGCCTAGAAACCAGGAGACTGAGTTCTAGGCCTCCTTTAGGCATGAAAGGCTGCTGGGTGACTGAGCCAGTCACTTTCAGTCCAACCCACCTCACAGGGTTGTTGTGGGGAAAATAGAAGGCAGGAGTATTAGGTATGTTCATGCCTTGAGTTATGTATAAAAAGGTGGGATAAAAATATTATAATGATAATAATAAAGTTTTAAGGCTGCTGATAACACTGGATTGTGTTGCCATGGCCAGGTGTGAACTTTGTTATTTGATTAGGTCAGTAAGGGTTTGGTTTGGACCCACACCCTCCCCTGTTGACCTCCTCTAGTAATCTGAACTGCCATAGCACCTTCTTTGCTATGACTTTACCCAGTGCTGGCAAGCATATGGCTTGGTCCTTCAAGTTCACGTTTTAGCGCATGGTAATTTGTATTGGTTTTAATGATTTGCTGGTTCACTTTTTTAACCAAATTTTTTGTTTAGAAAATCTTCACAATGACTACAGCTGCAGAGAGGAAGTTTGTTAATTTAAGGAAACGACTGGATCAGCTGGGATATCGACAACCACTGGGAGTGGAAAGTTTGCCTCTGGTGGAAAAGCTTTTCAGGTATTAAAAAAGGAATAGAAAAAAAAAATACTTGTAGGAGCTTTGAGATTGGTACAAATTTTTGATTATGAGGAATTTGACCATTTTGTGGAATGGGTTTATCAAAGCAAATATTCTGTTTCACCAAAATGCAATTAAATAATTTCAAAAACTATTGTAATTAATTGTATAGAAGCATTTTTGTATTAGTAAGTGCTTGGAATGAAGAGCTGTGTGCAGACAGTTTAGTAGGCACATTTCTGTAATAAATAAAAATGATGTGCACATAGTGCAAATATGCTGGCTATTAAAACCACTACTTACTTTGAATCAATCTTCAATAAGTTTTTTTTTTTAAGGTAGAAAGTTAATTTTCAAGCATCAAATTTCATGTTGACTACAGGCTTATAAGCATGCAATTTTGTTGTCAACAATATGGAAATGGTTTGCTTTTGTTTTTTTCAAGATACTTCTTTAACTTCCCAGTCTAGTTTACAGCCATGATATCTCCTGTAGTTTCCCAGCTAAGCACTAACCAGCCTTGTTCTTAGTTTTTTCAAAATCAGCCAGTCATTTGGTACTGCCATCTTCTGTAGTACCTTGCCACCTGTGGGTGACTGAGCCTGTGTTTGAGAATGTGCAAGTCATGTGACTTCCAGTTGGGTCCAAAGTTGCCTTAGGACCTTGGATCTACTTTTTGCCATTGACAGGTTTTTTACACTTATGCAACTCCAATTTAGAAGGAATTTTTCTTTGATTACTTTGTCTACAAAAATCTTTTTCTATATTTGCCTTTTAATTATTTCACAATTTGTTGATTGTAGAGTATATTTTTAGTTCATATGGAACACTCTCAAGTCTGCTTAAGAAATTATTTTTATAGTAATTTTATTAAAGATTACAATTTATAACAATAAAAACTAATACAAACTAAAAAAAGAAAAGAAAAAGAAAAAATAGAAGGTGCAGAAAAGAAAAAAGACAAAAATAGAAAAGAAAGAAAAAATAAGAATATAGTAAAGTAAAAAAATATATAAAGAAGTGACTTCCCCCTTCATCACAAGTATAAACAATTTTAGTAACTTATCACCTTCTCTTAAAATACAAATGATCTCTTATTCCCATATTCCATCTCTTATCTATAACCAAATCCTTAAAATCTCATTTCAGTCCTGATGTCAACAAAACTCCGTTAAGAATTACCAGAAGTAACAAATAATCTGCTATCATTTAGGAAGTCCCTGAAGACATGGTTATGTCATCAGGCCAGGGGATCTTTGGGAACTGGAGACATTCTTAGATGGCTTCTCTATGATTGATATTCTGCTCTCTCCGTGGGGTTTATATATTTTAAAATTTAAAATTTTAAAACTTTTTGATAATGTTGCATATTAATAACTTTATCTTTTATAATGATTGTTTTTATCTACGTGTTATTTTATTCAATCGTTGTATGCCACCCAGAGTTGTTTTGTGTGAGATGGGCGGTTATATAAATGTGATATATAAATAAATAAACAAATAAATAAACTCACCTGGTACTGTAAAACCTGTCAGTCTAAAGGTTCCTAATACAGGTAGTCCTCGCTTAATGACCACAATTGGGAGTGGAATTTAGGTCACTAAGTGATGTGGTCGTTAAGTGAATCATGTGACCGGACCTGATTTTACAACCTTTTTTGAGGCAGTCGTTAAGCAATTCATGTGATTAAGTGAATCATGATTCCCCACTGATTTTGCTTGCCGAAAGCCAGCTGGGAAGGTTGCAAATGGAGATCATGTAACTCCGGGATGCTGCAGCCGTTGTAAGTGTGAGCTGGTTGCTAAGTGCCTGGATCACGATCACTTCACTGCAGGGGTGCTGCGACATGATGGGCATTGGTTGTAAGTCACTTTTTTAGCACCATTATAACTTTGAACGGTCGCTAAATGCATGGTTGTTAAGCGAAGACTACCTGTAGCTGAAAGGCAGTTAACAAGCAATTTCTAAAAGTGATTAGAAAAGAAAGTATGCAAACCCAGTGTCCTTTCAAAGGCGCTGACCACGGTTTGAGCAAGATGATTGTTCCCTCTTCTCCAGAGCTCTAAATCCGCCAGAGACCATTGTGTTGTGGTCTCCTTGTAAGGAGCAACTGTCAGAAGCATTTGTGGGTGATTTTTCCTTGTCCAGAGAGAAATTATGCCACTTTTAGCAGAGCCGTCTTCAGTTCATCATTTCTTCCCTGGAAGCCTCAAGTCTACTTAAGAAATTCTAGAACAAATTCTTGTCTGCAGCCTTATATTGCAGAAGAATCTGATTTTCAGGAAAACTGTTTTCTTGTTTCTCTGAAGACACCTACGGTTTTTGCTAAACCTCTTCTGAAAAATTCCTGGATCAGGTACAATAAAACTCTTTATGGGGAGATAGCCCAGTTCAGCAATTTATAAGGCATTATTATTCCCCTTTTCAGGAAGGATGTAAGATTTTTCTTGCACTTTTATTTCCTATTTTGCATGCACACTGAGAAAGAAAACATATTAGAATTGATTACTAATTAAAATAACTTCAAAATGTATGGATACTATTCTAATATGTGGTGATTTAACATGTAGGAAATTATAAGTATAGTTTCAATATTTGTTCGATATTCTAATTATTTGTTTTATTGAATTTTAGCGACCTTGTTCATACAACTGAGAGCCTCCGGAGTACAAAATTATCTGCTGGAAAAATTGAAAAAGAATGCAGTAACTTTGATGTTGTTCTGGAACCTTATCGAGAAGAAAATGCTAGGCTCACACGTGAAAATAATGAATTGCACTTAGAAGTTCTGAAACTGAAAGAGCAATTGGAAGAACAGGTCAAAGGTAATACAATTTTTTTTTTTAAATTCTAGTCAAGATTTTGTAATCTGTCTTTGCTATCTGTTTTTAGCTAACTAAACAGTGTTGTCACTGATTCTGCAAATCCTCTCCCTTGATACTATACTTAAGAATCCTGTTCAAGACATGCGGCATTTCCTACTGCCCTCTTCCACACCTTCAAGCTCAAAAGGGAAACGCAGGCAGTGGTACTACACTTTACTGTTTCGAATTTTGGATTAATTTGGGAAGAAGGTAAAAGAAGAGGCTGAATTCAGCTTGTACAATTAATTTCTATTTAAAATGTGGAATCAAAACGCAGGACTCAAATGCAAAATAATTAAGGCTACATTGCAGTGTTTATTAGACAGTGCGCACTGGAGGAGACCCACCAAGGGTTAGCGGGAGACACTCCCCTGCAGGCAAAATGGATACCCTGATATTTATACAGTTCTACAAGAAGGGGAAGAGAAAAAGAATGCATACACATACATATTCATATGATGATGCAGGCATACCTAAATAAGTAATACTTCTCAAGTTACTTTCTGCCCCTCTGTTATCTGCTATCTACAAGGAAAACAATAGTGTCACAAGGAAGAAGAAACAAATTAGTTCAAGGTGCCAAATGCCAGGAAGAAACAAATTAATTCAAGGTGCCAAATGAAGAAGGGGAAGAGAAAAAGAATGCATACACATACATATTCATATGATGATGCAGGCATACCTAAATAAGTAATACTTCTCAAGTTACTTTCTGCCCCTCTGTTATCTGCTATCTACAAGGAAAACAATAGTGTCACAAGGAAGAAGAAACAAATTAGTTCAAGGTGCCAAATGCCAGGAAGAAACAAATTAATTCAAGGTGCCAAATGCCAGGAAGAACACATCCTCCTTCAAGACAGATACCTTGGTATATGGGGATGTTTGTGATAAGGCTTTTTACAACCAGCCTAGTTCCCACCAGCTTCAAGGGTGCTGCACATTCATCTGAGGCTTCTAAAAACATGCTTCTTTCATCCAAAGGTATGTTTTCCTCACAAAAAGATCAGGCAACTACTGAATTTTTTTTGTGCAAGTACATGCAGATCAGGAATCTGGAAACAATTTTTAGGAAACTGGGTTTGAGTTGAATATTAATCAGGTAATCCTTGCTTACCGACCGTAATTGGGACCAGGAACTCCGTTGCTAAGTGATACAGTCATACAGCACAATGTTGTGTGACCACGCCAACTTAAGATGGCAGTTCCGATAGTTCCAGTTGCCGTCGTAAGCGAATCCTGCGTGGTCACAGCATCCTGCGGTCACACAATCACTATTTGTGACCTCCTGCCGGCTTCCCCATTGACCGTGCTTGTTGGAAGCTTGTAGTGAAGGTTTCAAATGGTGATTATGTGATGTGGGACGCTGTGATGTCATATTGTGAGCTGATCGTTGAGCACCCAAATTGCAATCACATGACCGCAGGGTTGCTACAATGGCCACAACTACAAGGACCTGTTGTAAGTATCCCTTGTTCAGCACCAAACAGTTGCTGAATGGGTGGACATTTGTCTGTCTGTCTGTCTGTCTGTCTGTCTGTCTGTCTGTCTGTCTATCTATCTATCTATCTATCTATCAAATTTATATCACTGCCCAACTTCCCCACAAGGATGGACTCTGGGCAGTTCACAACCAACAGTTTAAAACCAATAAAAACATAAGTAATACAGTATAAAATACAATTATTAAATATAATAAAATCCAAGTGATGGTGGTATTATTTCAGCCTGTGACCAGATAATATTGGTCAAAGGTAATAAAAACATAAGTAATACAGTATAAAATACAATTATTAAATATAATAAAATCCAAGTGATGGTGGTATTATTTCAGCCTGTGACCAGATAATATTGGTCAAAGGTAAGACTAGGGAACCAGCCATCCCCAAAACTGACTATTCCCATCCCCACCCCATGCATAATGACAAAACCAGGTCTTCAGTTTTTTTTCTGAAGTCTGAAAGGGAGGGGGCCAATCTCACTTCTGGGGGAAGGATGTTCCAAAGGGCAGGGGCTGCTGCAGAGAAGGCTCGCCTCATGAACCCTATCAGATGAAATTCTCTTGCAGGCAGGGTCCATAGTATGCCCTCTCTGCATGACCAGGTGGGACAGGTTGATGTAACCGGGATGATACAGTCCTTCAGGTACCCTGGACCCATGCCACATAGGGCTTTAAAGGTGATAACCAACACCTTGAATTGGACCCGGAAGCAAACTGGCATCCAATGCAGCTCACGGAGCAAAGGTGTTATATGTGCTGATCTTGATGTACCTAAAATCGTCCATGAAGCCGCATTCTGGACCAGTTGAAGCTTTCGGATACTCTTCAAGGGTAGCCCCATGTAGAGCGCATTACAGTAGACTATATGGGAGATGACCATGGCATGAGTGACTGTTCATGGGGCCTCTCAGTCCAGGAAAGGGCGTAACTGGCGGATAACACGAAGTTGTGCAAAGGCCCTCCTGGCCATGACTGCCACCTGCTCTTCAAGCAGGAGTTGTAAGTCCAAGAGGACTCCCAAGTTACACACTGGGTCTGTCTGGGGCAGTGCCCCCCATCCAGACCCAAAGATGGCAAATTCCTGGGGACGGAGGGGCCATTACCCCACAGCCACTCTGTCTTGCCAGGGTTCAGCTGAAGCCTGTTGTTCCCCATCCAGACCCCCACAGCCTCCAGGCACCTGGAAAGGGCAGCCACAGCACCACTTACCTCCCCCAGGATGGAGATGTATAACTGAGTATCATTGGCATATTGATGATACCTCACCCCGTGGAAATGGATGATCTCACCCAGCGGTTTCATGTAGATGTTAAAAAGGAGAGGAGAGAGTACTGAACCCTGCGGCACCCCATAAAGGAGGGGCTGTGGGCCTGATCTCTCCTTCCCTATCAACACCGACTAGGACCGGCCCTGGAGGAAGGAGGTGAACCAATGCAAAACTATGCCGCCCACCCCCAATTCCCTGAGTCGGTCCAGAAGGATACCATGGTCGATGGTATCGAAAGCCACTGAGGTCAAGGAGAGCCAGGATGGATGCACCACCTCCATCCCACCCCTGCCAGAGATCATCCATAAGTGTGACCAATGCTGTTTCTGTTCCATATCCGGGCCTGAAACCTGACTGAAAGGGGTCTAGATAATCTCTATCATCCAGAATCCTCTGGAGCTGCAGTGCCACCACCTCAACCACCTTCCCCATATAGGGGAGGTGGGAGACTGACCGAAAATTATCCAGAACAGTAGCGTCCAACGATGGTTTCTTGAGGGGGCGCACCAGTGCCTCCTTAAAGGTCGCAGGGAACATCCCCTCTCTCAAGGATGTATTAACCATCGCCAGGACCCAACCACACATCCCCTCTCTGGCTGCCCTCACCAGCCATAAGGGACATGGATCTAAAAGGCATGTGGTGGCATTTACAGTCCGGAGGATCCTGTCCACTTCCTCAGGACCAACAGGATCAAACTAGTCCCAGATAACTCGGCAAAGACATTCCCCAGGTATCTTGTCAGACCATGCCTCATGCTTGGGGTCCAACTTAGAACGGATCTGAGCGACTTTATCCTGCAGATGCTCAGAAAATTCCTTAGCACTGCCCTGTAGATGGTTTTCTGAACCCCCTCTCCCCAACAGGGATTGGGTGATTCTAAACAGGGCCGCTGGGCAGCATTCTGTGGATGCAATAAGAGTGGAGAAATATTGACATTTTGCCTCTCTTACCGCCACAAGGTAGGCCTTAACCGTGGCTCTAGCTTGTGTTTGGTCGGGTTCGGTCCTTGTCTTCTTCCAGTGGCACTCCAGACTCCAGGCGTCTCTTAACCTCTTCAGAACCCTCAGCTCCTCCGTGAACCATGGGGAGCGACGGGCCCGGATGGGTAAGAGGCATGATCCTGTCCAAGGCCCCGGGTGCCGCCCTATTCCAGGCAGCAGCCAGGGCCTCCGCTGGACCGTGCAGCAAGACCTCGGGGATAACCCCCAGCTCCTTCTGAAACCCTAATGGGTCCATCAGTTGCCAGGGGCGGACTGATTGAATAGGTCCTGCCTCCCTGCAGAGGGGGCGGCATACGAGAACCTCAAGGCCACCAGGGCATGATCTGACCATGGCAACGGGGAAAGATGTAACTCTCCCTTCAGGTCACATTGCCACTGCTCCAACAAGAAGACTAAATCCGGTGTGAGTCCACTGTCTTGAGTCGGGTCCCAAATAATCTGAGTCAGGCCCATGGCCGTCATGGTGGCCGTGAAGTACATTAAGCGAGAACTACCTGTATATTGTACAGAATCACATTTTAATGTACAAATTCTTGTAGAATTCAATATAGTAGCTTAGTAATCTATCTAAATATATACTTTTATATGAGTGCTCTTCAATTTGTATAGATTCCCTAATATTTAAGAGAAATAAAACTATTTTTCAGATTATTTTGGAAAAAACATTATGTATTATTTGTTCAAAGTTGACATTTTTAAAAACCCAATAGAATCTGAATTTGACAATAGAATTAATTCTTTTCCTGATAATTAAATCATTGATAATGCCAGTAATTTAGTTCAACCTTAACCATTTTCTCATTATCATAATGAATGCAACATTTTTGGAGTGGTGAGCATGTATACTCAATTTTGAGATGCTCCCAAAATGACTATTATAGTGGTGTTCTCTATTAAAACAGGAGGCATGGCCAGTCATGCAATGTTCCTTTGCTTTTCTCCATATTGTCTAGAACTCCCAGAATGTACTCTACTTCCCCTCCCTTTCTTTCTGACCAACTGGGCTGCATCAACCTACCATTCTTATTTCTTAACAAAGCTGTTCTAGAGCCATTCTTGGAAATAAAGATGATGCTGACATTTTGTTTTTCAACATGCTAGCTTCCTATGCATTTTTATTTTATTTTTTTAAAGTCAAATAGGGCAAAGAATTTTTTTTCCTCACAGATTTGAAAGCTACTTTGAGGAAATTTGAACATGAGAATTCAGACATGAAATTTTTGAATAATCAATATATACATAAAATGAGATCATTAGAAAAAGAAAACAAAGCCAAGACTGACAAAATCCAACAGCTTCAAGAAAAAAATCTACAAGCTGTGGTACAGACACCAGGTACGTTGCCAACTTATGTGCTCATCATTTTGGTTTGCTAATTCTTTTAGTGGGCTTTAATTCTGAGTACTCTTACTATTCTTTAAGTATCTTTACTGTTTCTTTGGCTCTGGTCAGTTTAAGGTAAGCAAGGTATCAGTTTAAGCACTTGATTCAGAACCAGCATGTGCAAAGCAAATAAATGAGTATTTGTTTCAATGGACTCTGGTACTGTTTCTCTAAAGAGATTCAGTAACTTTCCTGTTTAGGCTTCAAATGAGATGTAAACCATCTTTATTTTGTTGTTCTCTGAGCGCCAGATACAAATTCTGTCTTCCTATTTTTATGCTCTATTCAGTTCTCAGTTTTATTGTGTAAAACCTATTTTAGTGACTCATATACTAATTTGCTTGACAATAACAACCTCTAACTAACGTTGGTGGATCTCAGAAATGCTAAGCATGGTTGGACCTGTTTAGTACTTGGATGGGAGTACCAGTAGACAAGATTGGGAAGAAAAATGGAAAAAGAATCCTTGAAAGAAGCAGTGGCAAACTGCTTCTACGTTACTGCCAAAGAAACATGTCCACCAGGAGTCAAGCTTGACCCAAGGGAGACTATAGCTTTGTGAACTGTATATTATATTTTTAAACATTATATATCTAGTCTGTTTTGAATTGGGGGGGGTGAAGGGAGAGGAAGCCAGATCATCTTTTTAGATGATCAATACTTATAGGCTATAAACCAGCTATTGATGAGATAAGTCTTTCACTTAAAACTCCCCCAAGACTGGGAATTTTAGATGGTGAAATGATGCCTTAACTGTCAGCAAGGCTTAAGTTACTCATTTTACTCCTTAAAATCCTTCATCACCACTTTCCACTGTGAATCAGAAACATGACTCCATCCACTTGGGAAAAAAAATTAAAAATGTTTTGGGGTCTACAAAACAGGTCCTGGGAGTCACATCAAGACTACAGGTTGCCCCACCACTATTTTATGTATTCTTATGTCCTTAGTATTTCTTAATCATGCATCATTTTTTATTGCAGCTCAAAGATTGAATATCTATGTTATAAATTTTTAATTAGTACATGATTAAATGTATTATTTGGTGTTCACATAATCACAACAAGATCTTATTTAAAGTGTCACTGATAAGTAGCTTTACTTCAAAAACATGAAATCCTGCAATTTCTAATTTATACAGTGGTACAGTAGAGTCTCGCTTATCTGACATAAACGGGCCGGCAGAACGTCAGATAAGTGAAAATGTCGGATAACACACAGTAACGATTGAGTGCGGTAAAAAAAAAAAAAAACGATCCGCATACAATAACAAACTGCACTGAGCAACCATTAGGAAAGGCGAGACATGACCGACACATGAGTCATAGGCTAGACGCGCGCACCTGCTTCACCTGTTGCAATCGATTTTTGCGTTGCAGCACTGCACTGTCAGAAGCAACAAGAAAGAGTACACTCACGCTCGCAAACAAGCGGCACACTTTTCTCATCGCCAATTTATGCGTGTTGTGTTTTTTTTAGGGGCATCGGATATGTCGGCTAAGCGAAGGTCGGTTAAACAAGACTCTACTGTACCTCGGTTCACGAACTTAATTCGGTCCACGATTCTGATCGTGAACCAAATCAAATTTTCCCATAAGGTTCAGTGTAAATAAGGTTAATCCGTTCTGAACCATATGTTTTTTTTAACCACAAAAATATGAAACAAAGTA